CAGCCTCTGGCATGTTAGAACAAGGTGGGTAAGGGAAGTCGAATGTCGAATGTTGAATGTTGAATCGCTTTATTGTCATTACACTTCCGTGCAATGACAATACACGGAAGTAATTGTCATTACACTTCCTGCTTGGCTCTCGCCTTCGTCGAGAGCCAAGCAGAAAAGGCTTCGGCAAGTCAGATCCATAACTTCGGAACAAGGATTGGCTCTAAGGGCTGGGTCGAGCGGGCAGGGGGGCCAAGAGGACATGGGCGCGTGCCGCGGCTGGGGGAGCAGCCGCCCGCCCGTCGCCGCTGCCGGAACCGGGGTGCGGGCGCGGAGCTGATCCGGCGTGGGTCAGGCGGGCAGAGTCGGACGCAGACGGCGTGGCTGGATGCTCGTCTTTGCAAACAACAGTGATGTCATTAAGATGTGCGCTCATCTTGGAGGCAATGTAAACATTGAAACTCATCTATACATCAAACAATCATGTCAGAATTAGAATTAGAATCAGAATCAGATTTATTGACCAAGTATGCAAGAAACACACAAGGAATTCACTTCCCAGTTACAACCCATCCAGAGGAACATAAACAAGACAGCAAGAACCAACATGGGGGAGACAGAACGAGAAGCCAGGCGGGTCGCTGTTAAGCACCCCGATATCTTAGATCTGAAAGGAAAGGAAAACAGTCGGGAAGAGGAGGGAAAAAAACCCCAATAGGCTCCAACCATTCTCCTTAATGGGAGGATGGTTTGAGCCAGAGAAAATAACCTCAGCACATGTAGTGTACATTTAAAACCACAGTGCAACAATTCTCAAGACTGAACATGGAAAGAACAGGGTGGTGGGGGGACGGGAGGAAGGTTGGGGGGAGCATCACAATCTGTGAAACAAGCTGCACACAGTAGGTGCGCTCAAGTCTTTGCAGTTATGACGTGGGAGGGAGCAGAAAAGACCTTGACATTGCGCCTGCAGCTGCAAGGCCAAGACCTTATCAGTCACAGGCTCGGGAGAGTAGGGTGAAGAAGTCTGTGTGTTTTCACATCCAGATAACAACTGTTTTGCGAACAGGCCGTCTTCAATTACAAACAGCCTTGAATGCCTTTTATCATGCGACTCTCTGTGGTGTCAATCTGCCAAATTCTTGATCAATCAGTCAATCAATTCTCCAAGTCGGAACAACTACTTCCGGTCTTTCCATTTTGTGAAGCGACTCCAACACAACATGCACTTTGCGGTTCAGTTCGGTCAATGAATGAGTCTGAGTGTTGATCACCCACCCCAAAATGTGTATCCATAGTGCTGAGAGTCCAGCTGACTAATTCCATAGTTTGTCTTTTCATAAGAAAAAATATATAGAGGCTATATTCAGACAAAAGACAGCACATTAGACAACCTCAGGAAAGCAGAGAAGTAACGGGGAGCTAGGGGGCAGAGCAAGTAGCGTCCACCTTTGCCGAGAGTAGAAAAAAAGAAAAAAAATATGAGACACTTTCACAATAAGATGATTTAAACCCTTAAAGTTAGGAGGGCCCGCCGAAGGGCCCTCCGTCATCTGTCAAAACAAATTGCTGATGCACGTCGTCAGCTGAGTACATGTGTGAACATGTTATACATCTTTTAAAAGCTGAGTTTCTGGAGATTTGAATGGTCACCTACATGTTACAATTGTCGAATTTGAACCGGAACTTGGGGAGACCTCAAACTTTGATCCTGTAGTGTTTTCAAGTCCGAATCAACATTCTAAATCCATTTTCAAGGAAGATTTTGTGAAAAGAAATTAAGACGAACATAAGATTCGCCTTTTTCTTCTGTTTTCAAACATCCATAGTTCAGTGACAGGAGCACTTACACAGATTCTTACTGTATGGGAGAAATATTCATAATGATAAAATTTTGAATATTTCAAAAAGAGACCAAAACTATGCTGATACTCCAAATGGTTAAAGAACAGCTACAAATTTACTTTGGGTGCACCTTTCCATAGGCGTTTTGGGCAAAGTTGCCCTCGGTTTAAGGGGATAATTATTAATTAAACAATAGCATTGCCATGTTCATGATCTGCAATCCTAAATTTGACATTAAATAATAGCTGGCTTTAAAAAGTATAACTAACAATTAGATAAATAAACAACAAACAGGAGGTTAGCATCAGATGCATACATAATATAAATAAAAGACTATTCAAAAGACAAATTAGAGGACAGTTGAAAATGCGGTGACATCAAACAGCACCTGATTCGTACATCTCAGATCTGCATATAAAATTGGTCAATGTAAATTCCTGCTCAGTATGTGCGCTAAATTTGAATTTGAACACCGTCACATGAGTTGGAGTCTTCTGCATCACTGATCCAGGTCGTTTTTGTCACGTCTGCCTGGCCGATAGTGGCGCTGGCAAAACTCCCTGATCCGACCACATGCTTCCAACATCATCTGCTCTGGAACTGTCACCACAATGCGGAAGAAGTTGGGATACTCAAAAGCCTGTGAGAGGAGAGGCTCTGAATATCACACAGCGGCTGGATTTCTGGCATTTTTTTTTTCTGACAAAAGTGCTGAAGGTGGGAACTTACTGTTGCAGGCAGACAGAAAACTGACTGCTCGGTCACCAGTCGTTCAGTAAAGTCAACATCACTCTGAAAATCTGGGAAGCGCTCTATGTCGATTCCAATCTGAAAAAACACACAATTAGATGCTATGTATCTGTTAGATTAGTGGAGGAGATTGTTAGATTTTTTTCAATCATTTCAATAATCTATAACTGCTTCAAACAACAAAGAGTATGCAGAAAAGTGGTTAAGATTGAATGACTGTGTCTTATGTGTTGTGTTGTATTATTTTGTTATTATGTTACTATGACTTCAACATGGCGCCGCGAGAGTGGCTGCCTTTACAGCAGGTCCTATACTTTTTGTTCTTCTACTTTCTTCCTTTCATACCTTTGCTGCTGTACATTGGGAATGTCTCCATTGTGAGACGAATAAAGGTTTTCTTATTCTTATTCACAAAATGGCAAAACAAACACCGATGCAAACCCACCAAAGTTACAAAAACTGTTGATGGTAATTGGTAACCGGATACAGATAAGGAAGCATATGAAGCACCGCACAAATGTATTGTTAGATTTCAACAATAATGGACTTTGCTTCTAAAAACTAAGAATCACCGGTAGTATGTATTCCAGTCAGTCATGGTGTAGTGGTAAATTTGCCTGCCTTTGGTGCACTCAGTGAAGGTACGAATGTGCGAGTGAATGGTTGTCTGTCTCTCTGTGGGCCCTGTGATTAAATAGCGGCCAACTCTGGATGTGGTTCGGCTTTTGCCTGCAGTCAACTGGGATAGGCTCCAGCTCATCCGTGACTCTGAGCAGGATCAGCAGTATAGAAAATGAATCCTTTTACATCCTTGGGATTCAATATAAGAGCTGAGTCAAAACATTCTCCTTTACAGAGATATTAACGCTCAGTTTTTATTGACGAAATTATGTTATTGTTTATTTGTTTATTTTTGTGGTTGTAGTTTGCAGCGAATGTGGAATGGTATGGTGTCATACGTAAATAATATATCAATACTATTTTTTCCCCTATTTACTTCCTACATGAGAGATTCAGATGAATAAAAATGGGCCTTTCTTTTATTCAATGCAGTTCTGCACCACAACCCAACCTAAAATATAACCATTATGAGAAGTATATTGTGATATAATATCGAATACCTACCTGACAGAATCTACAAAAAGTGAGCATTCTTTTCTCACTTAAATACAGCACTGTACAAAAGTCTTGGGCCATGATTACCGGTACATTTTTTTTTTTTTTTTTTTTTAGCAACGTCATAATGATGAGTAGTAGGCCAATAAGTAGACAACAGACCTCAAACAAGGCTGAACTACAGTACAGTATTACCATTCATCAAACTTTGTTGGTGTGTTGGTCCATCTGGACTCCATCCGGACATGGGTTGCAAAAATGATTCTGGGCGTTATCCAATGGAAATATACTGTACTTGGTTGGTAAAATGTAAATTTTTTTTGTGCGGCATTCCACCGCAAAGTTTTGCGAATGCAGGTATTGGTTCTAAATTAATTTGCGTGAACCCTCTGTATTCTTTGAGATAACAATTTACAAGCTATCGACTGCTGTAAAACATAATAAAAACAAAGCAGTCGCTACGGTAAATGTACCATCATTCTGACAGAACAGTTATTCGATAAAACTGAATTCTGACACAGTATGTTGTACTTTACTTCATAAATCAGTGCACTAATTTGCAGCTGCAGTCCTACCCATGTGTCATACTGACCATCAAGTACATGGCTCCTGAGGGCAGGATGGGCTTCAAGCCAGGTACAGTGGACAGCTCATTGAAACAAATCTCAGCGTTGGACTATGGAAGAAAAAGACATACTGAATTTGACACCAACGAGATGGAGTGCAACATTACCAGACACAGATGAAGACTTGGCGGTGGAACAAGGAAGTGCAGGAAAACCTACAACGGGCACCGGCCTAACAAATGAGGGCTTCAAGTCCATTTCAAGTAATATGGTCTCCTCTTAGCCAACATGCACCATTCAAAACACATGCACGCACACACACGCACACCCCAAAAAAGGCCTAAAACGAATCAAATTACCATAATTTCCAGGCTATAGCGCACACCTGATTATATGCCGCACAAACGACATTTTTAAAGGAAAAACAATTTTGTACGCACACAAGCCGCACCTGTCTATAAGCCGCAGGCGCCCACATTGTAACCTGAGATATTTACAAAGAAAGACGGGAAACAGAAAGAGGTTTCAACGTTTAACAACATACCTTAACTTTTCTTTGCCTGTAACGCGGCAGTAAAACTGCACTCATTCGACTGGTTTAAAAAAAAAAAAAAAGAGCACTGTTCCCTGCCGTAGCACTTGGTCAACCATTGCTTCATTAGGCTTTCTACTATCCACGCTTTTGTGTCACCTTTCACGACAATGTCTTTCTGGAGGTTTTCTATTGGCATATGTAAGCAAGTGAACAACACTATGTGTACAATATTTGATCCATTGGACAGATGTACACCACTGCCTAAACAGTGAACAATAACCCCATGAAGCTGAAATTTTGCAAAGGATGTCAAAATGGGTCAAAGTTCAAAATGTCCCCTGCTGGACATTTTTTAACATTACAGTTGGGATATCTTACAATGATTTTTTTTTTAACTATGAACGACGTAAAATGCCAACATTTGGCAGATTGACGCCCATTATAAATGAAAATTTTCAATAGACTGTAAACCTGGTGATTTATAATGCATCTCACGTAATTTCCGCAAAAATCACTTCACTGGCGACCCAGTAACAGGATGAAAAAGAAAATTGTGGTTTTAGAGTTTTTAATTCTTTGCCCCACCAGATGGCACTAGAACCGAACGAATATTTCGCCTCCCAGGCATTCCGTCACAGGCAAAAAGCACGCTCCCGCCATTTTGAGACATGAAGACGATCTGGATTGTTGAAAGAGGTCTATGTGCGTCTGTGTCTATGGATGTGTTCGTATGTGCGCGTCACATGGAACAGTTCTGATCAAAGACTCTTGATGAGACTCTATGAGGTTTAAGCCTACAGCTGAATATGCGCCAGGCAAGACTCACCGTAGCTGACACACTCTCTCGTAGCCCATTACAGTGTACAACAGAGGTAACTGACATTCATTCCGATGTAGAGTGTTGCATTGCAGCCATCATCGGTCCAGCATGCCAGCCACACCACAAAAGCTTGAGGTGATAAAGCTAGCCACAGCAGCTGACAGTAACTTGAAGATGCTACTGCAATATATCAAGTCATGTTGGTCAGATTATGTAGGAAATGTCCTTATTGCCATTAGAGACTATTATCCAGTTAAACGTGAACTCTCAGAGTGCAAACATATTGTCACCAGAGGATGTTGCATATTAATTCTCGCCCCTTTGAGAGGTGACATCTTGGATCGGATCCATGATGGACATCAGGGCCTAACCAAATGCAGGGAGCGGGCCAATGCATCCGTGTGGTGGCCCAGAATCTCCAAAAATGAAAAGGATGCCTTCACCATAAGATCGGTGATTGGCTCATTTGCTGTCAATCAAAAAGAGATTCAGCCTCAGAGAGATCATCCAATCATCATGCAGAAAAGCTCAGCGTCCGGGCCAGCCGATCAACGCCCAGAGACGCTGAGCGTCAGATGGGCGGGACAAAACCAGCATTTATCCAATGACTTGTCTCGTTTCAATACATTGGGACAACCTACACTGAACTCTCTAGACGCCGAGCGTCCGCACTGCAGACGCTCAGCGTCCACACAGTTTAAAGCACAGTGAAGCTGCGGGAATGAATGAGAAGAGAGTCACGTCGTAACCAGTAATAAGAAGCTGATTCGGAACAAAAGCTGAGCGCGTTGTAGCGCATATTGAGTCAATGACATGTCCACACACATATATTTGATCACTTACTTTTTGACATTTATGGGGAAGCTGAGCTTCCCTTGCAGTCTTAGAGCAATCGCCTCTGCAGGGCAACCACCATGTGCATTCAAAAAGAACAATATGGTTGTTGGCGTTCACGCGGGCCTGTCCTGTTCCTAACCAACAAGTAAAACCCTTCTGTTAAGCGCAAATATCTATGTGGATGTTTCAATTCCATGACAGAGTCTGATGATGATTTTTGCCCTCAAATCTCCCAATGAGGAGGAAGATTCGGAGCATGACGAGGAGCACGACGTGGACGACGACGACGAGGAAGACGACGAGGACGAGCAACAGACAAAATGGCCATCAAAAAACAACTCAACTCAACTGTATTTATCGAGCACTTTCAAACAGCCATCACTGCATACAAAGTGCTGTACATGGAGCAATTTAACATATACAACAAACAGTAAAGCAAATCGGTAATAAAGATGGTAGAAAGCACCGAACAGCAAAACCAAGAACAAATCTAAGTCATGCTGAGTCAAATGCCAAAGAATACAAGTGAGTTTTGAGGCGGGTTTTAAAGATGGGCATCGAGGAGGCCTGCCGAATGCTCAGCGGGAGGTCATTCCAGAGAGAGGGACCAGCAAATAGAAAAGGCTCGATCCCCTCTGAGCCTCAGTTTAGTTCTTGGTACTTCTAATAATGTCTGGTCCTCAGACATGAGGCGCCGGGCGGGTGTGTAGGGGCGGATGAGCTCAGAGAGGTAAGGTGGCGCGAGGTCATTTAGAGATTTGAAAACAAATAAGAGGATCTTGAAAATAACTCTAAAATGTATAGGGAGCCAGTGAAGGGATGTAGGAGAGTAGGAGTTATGTGCTCCCTCTTACGAGTACCAGTCAAGAGGCGAAGCAGCGGCATTCTGGACCAGTTGGAGGCGCTTAATGGAGGATTGGCTGACTCCAAAGTAAAGGGCATTGCAGTAATCGAGCCGGGATGTGACGAAGGCATGAATTACTGTCTCAAAGTGTTCATGAGAGAGGAGAGGTTTTACTTTGTCCAGCTGTCTAAGGTGAAAGAAGCTGGATTTAACAACGGCACAAATTTGCCGGTCAAGTTTAGAATCACTGTCCAGTTTAAGACCCAAGTTTGAAACTGTTGACTTAAGATAAGGGGACAAGGGGCCCAAGTCTACAGATGGGATGTACAAGGGCCACTGGGACCAAACAGTATCACCTCTGTCTTCTGTTCATTGAAATTCAAGAAATGTTGTGCCATCCAGGTTTTGATTTCTTCCAGGCAGGATAAAAGTGGCCTTAATGAGAAAGCGTCTTTTTTGCTCAGTGGGACATAGATCTGACAGCCATCTGCATAGCAGTGGAAGGATATACCATGTTTCCTTAAGATGGAACCCAATGGGAGCAGATACAGTGAGAACAGCAGAGGCCCCAGAATTGAGCCCTATGGAACACCATATGACAGAGGAGCAGTACGTGACTCAAGAGTCCTGCCTGTTTTCCAGCTCTCCCAGGAGCAACACACCTGATTGAAATAATCAGGCTCGTTCTAATGCTGCTTCAGAGGTGGTTGATGAGCTGATCATCTGAATCAGGTGTGTTGCCGCCGAGACAGCTGGAAAACAGGCAGGACGGTGGCCCTCCAGGCCCGGAGCTGGACATGCCGAAGGTAGTTACTTACAGAGAGTCATAACACAGTACTACTTTTGTAATTCAGACAGAAGAAAAAAGCAATCAAAACTACGGATGTATAGCAAGGTTCGATGCCACTGAACATTTTGATGGGTTGTAAGTGAAAAAAATCTTCAAAAATGACTTAGTTATCACATCTCAAACTATCATTTTGTTGCAAATCTGCCTTCCCTTTACCTTGATGAAATGAATGGTATCATCGTAGAAACCTTGAGGTGTGTTGTTGAAGATTCCCTCCAATGCGCCCTGGACAATGGTGCACGGTCCAAGAATACGTTGGCAAAGCTTGACAAGGCCTTGTCGAATCTGCAAATGTTACATAATGTACAGTATGTTCCTTTTTCGCTTCACTGTATATACATGGACAATACAACGTAACCTCACATGACACAGATTTAATATCAGTCACCTGAGGAGCTGTCACGCCTTTCTCTCTGCAATGGAGTAAAATATACAGCATACCGTGGATACCAGGGCCAGTCTATGCATTTGTTACCTGGGCCTTCAGTGGCGATTTACCTGATTTAAACCACATTTAGCACCACTATCATATCTAATAGTAATCATAATATATATATATATATGCAATATAATAGCAGGCAATGTTGTCACATATATCATCTGGAGTGCTATCAAAATCAGCATTGACCTAACATAATTTCTCAAGAGTAACCCTTCTTTTTTGCTAAAACCAAATCGCCACAAATTGGCGGGGTCTTATGATACATGAGTACAAGCGAAATTAAGAAAATGTATCATTGTACACAGGATTACTGGTACCAAGGGTTTGTGAAAAAAGTGTACTTCATGTCTAATTGACAAATGTATACAAAATGCCAAACTTTTCGATATGGATCGTGAATGACACACGGGCACTGCCGTTTGATACCTGTGATCATATCATATCATATCATATCATGTATTCGATAAATGTGTAAACTCCATTACATATTATATCATGCCATTCCATACCATAGCCAGTGTTGAGGGTAACGCTGAACCCTTTCATGCACCCTGTAACCTGATAACATGATAAGCTGTCCACTGTAGTAACCGCTGTCCCTGAAAGGGTAAATAAAAGAAATGTTCCAGTAACCTACGTGATGTTTAGAAAGCAAATGAGTAGTAGTATAACGCTTGACTCAACATATAGAACATATTATTCCAGTTATGAAATCTTGGAATGAATTACACTCCCAGCTGTCCCCGTTGATGCTGGCATTCTCTTAAAATCCACATTTAAGAGTAACATGAAATCCAACATAAGATTTGTCTCTGTGAAATAATCCCATTTCAATTTATTCAGAAATACACCATTGTCGACTGAAAAGCACTGCAAAGTTTTACAGTCAGCTTCCAAAGAACCGATAGGAAATTACTTCTCATCAAGTCATTGACTACCTCCTGATTGCAGTAGTAACATTTGACAACAGCTGAAAAGGAATAGTTCTCTCGCACGGTGTTTTATATGCTCGGATTCCAAAATGTTTCAGAGACCACTTCCAGATCTCGGAGTCGCAAGGTGCATCATTATGGGCAAGTGACTTTTCTTGCCGACCAACTTTTCTTGAAAAACTATTGTGAAGCAGCGTACGCAGCTGCAATTTGGACCATTTAACCACTGGAATTTTTTTTTTTTTCTATCTAATCGTTTGGTACTCCTTACACCAGGGGTGTCAAATTCATTTTTGTAGGGGGCCACATTGTAGTTACGGTTTCCCTTGGAGGGCCGTTACGAATTTTGGGAAACCATATAAATGTTTAATCACCTCCACATATTACATACACAGTGCACAACAAATGGTTGAATAACTAGTTGGAAAATCAGAAGTCAAGAATAATGTTATTGTGGATTACATGTGACAATTTGAAATTTTGGTTCAGACTTTAGCAAGCATCATGGAACTTGACATGCTTGATTTGCTTTCGCGGGCCACTTAAAATGATGTGGCGGGATTTGACACCTGTGCCTTACACGGAGCACCCTCTGCTGGCACACGACACTTAAGGTTGGCTGCACACAAGTCACCCGTCCTGCTCGAGATGTTTAGCAATACGCTGAATAAATGTGTCGTTTTTCTCACGTGACATAAGTGAAGTGATCTAAGGCAGCCTAACACACAGCGAATCAATCGACAATGTGACACGTCACAAAAATATTTTAATGCGGAAACGTTTCTTGATTTAAAAAGTGACTTTTGACGAGAAAGCGTATTTCTCGGCATCCAGGATGATCGCATGTTTTGTCTCGCATTAGTTTCGCGGTCCGCTTGCTTGCTGACAGAACTTAGTCACTGTGTTCCCCGTCGGTTTCAAGATATTGACAAAATAAATGTTAATGTGAATAAATGTGTTCAAGATAAGTACAATTTTTGTCCATCTTTATCATAAGTCTGGATCTTTTTTATGTCAGGAAAGTGTGGCGAATGAATGTAGATTTACGCTGCTTTTTGTGGTGTTTTTTTTTTTTTGTTTTTTTTTTTTACACCAACGCTCAAGCTTCTAAATTCCATGGGAATAGTTGAATATGGCACAAAGTGCAGCTGTCGTTTTTAACCCTTTCAAGGACAGCGGCCACTACAGTGGACAGCTTATCATGTCATCAGGTTACAGGTTGCATGAAAGGGTTAAAGCCTTTTCAGCAATGCCTGCAAAGCTTTAAAGCGTACAGTTAGGCATACACCTAGCTACTGTCATACAAAACCACTGGCGGTTTGGTCGCCTCCCCTTTTTTCACCTCGATTCTCACGCATGGGCAAAGGAGATTTGCAAGTGGCTCTTTACAAAACATTCTCTGTCTGCTTGCTGTTGCACCTCATTCTAGAAGTGCGCTTTTAGTTTTGTTATTGAAAAAGTATCAGCCAAGGGTGCCCCTTACGTCTATCGCGATCGACAGGTATCTCGCGGACTGGTCCCAAGTCGATCGCGAGGGGTGGAGAGGGGAAAAAAAACCCCAAAAACTAACAAACATTTGTGTACCTCTGTGCATGTTAGTAATATACTTTTTGCGTTAACGCACATTGAACCCAAATCATCCTATCAGTCTCACTTTCACAGAAAGTATTTAAAAAACAAAATAAAATAAAGCAGGTCACGTTTACGTACAGTAGCGCGTGAACTGCGTCACCGGAAGTTGTTCGCGCTCAGCAGTCTGCAATGGCAGCTTGCGATCGGAGCTGTTGCGATGTAACCTTTATCATTATTATTATTATTATTATTATTATTATTATTATATAGAATGGGAATCTGGAGGGCCGAAAGAAGCATTTTAAAACTGTACGCGTGAGCTACAATAGTTAACAGGCTGCAAAAGTGAGTGGCATGCCTCCGCGTCGGGCTGTTGCTCATCATGGCATGCGTGTGTATGTGCGTACGCATGCACGCGTGCGCGGTAACGGGTCGATCGCGGGAGGTTGGTTGATCAAAAAGTAGATCGTCGGTCAAAAAAGTTTGGGCACCCCTGGACTATAAACTGTTAGCATGTTTACTTTTTGTTTAACCTTTGTGTGGCTGCACTTTGTAACCCAGGACTTACATAAATAAGGCACAGAAAAAGCGTTTGTGTCATGCCGTGTCCAGGTTGGAGTTTGATTACTCTATATCATTACATTATTGTAATTCGGCTATTCACGGTCACCACAATTTGCAGATGCGATTAGACTTTCATTTTGTGTTGCCACCCCCTCCACTATATGAGGAATTACAATTAACTGAAAACTAAAAAGTAACATGAAAGCAATACGTAACGCAACATTACTCAACACGGACAGTAACAGAGTAAAGAATAATTTATTACTTTCAAATGTAAGTAACTATCCACTATCCCCCTGGTCTGTGTTCGGGCCCTGTTCTTTACCCATGAAATATTAGATATGCGGCCATTCTGTGCTTTGTCTGGTTGACAATGTTGAAATACATTTGTATTGTAGAGCTGCGCCATACTCTCGTCTACCTAGTTTACCAATGTAGGAACCAAATGAACTAGTTCTCATCGACATTCAAGGTTCTCTGATAGGGTGCTACGTTGAAATAGTACCTTGCGTTCAAAGACGGTACTTGCTGCTTTCTCCCTCCCCCAAGTGGGTGTGATTCTTTGCAAACATTGCAAATAAGTTGTTCGATAAGTAAGTTTGGTTATTCATTTGTCATTCCCAGAAGTAGTTTACTCACATGTAAAACATTTGGGTCAACAACAAGCATCCGCAAACTAAACGCGACCGTAAAAGCCTGACTTGCTCATCAAAATGAGTGTCGGTGTTGCCGGACATTTATTTATATATCTTCAAATGACACATGCAGAACAGTCAAGGGTGGTTGACTTATGTTTTGTGTGATAATCCCTGTATTAATGAGGACACCGGAAACAATTGCACGTCTGCATTTAATGTAAAACTCGTCTGAATGCAAACCAAAGGCAAGACGCATTCCTTACAATCATAGCAACAGTTTGGGGTGAAAAGGTGAACAGCTTCGTTGACTCTGAAGAGACAAACTTGGTTGCACACAACAATGTGTGTTGTCTAAACCAGCAGTCCCCAACCTTTTTTGCCTCACGGACCGGTTTAATGACAGACAATATTTTCAGGGACTGGCCTTTATGGTGTGGCAGATCAATAGAACAAAATAATATGATATGACCTGCATGAAAACTGTGGTATTTTCTAAACATAATAATAAGCACGAATCATGACATCCTATTGAATTGAATTGAATACAACTTTATTGTCAATCTGGCCGCAACACTCTTTGGTCGCTATGGTAATGTTTAAATGTGCCTTCAAAATAAGATACGCCACAAAACCACATATTATGCAGAGCGAGCTTGGTGCGTAGGAATCCGTTGAAATAAATCCGTATTTTAAGTAGGACTCCTGATACTGTCTATTAATTGTAGCCTTCTTTTTCTTTGAAGTCGTAGGCTCCTCTTCTATCTCCTGGCTGGGCCTTTTCCCCTTCCCAAAGAACCGTTCCAAAGAAGTTTGTTTTTTACTAGTTTTGCAAACTCCTGGGTTTCATTTTAGCGGTAACCTATCACATGACCAAGAATACTGTAAACGGATGTAACAGAGAATCCGGTATTTTTTTCAAAATAAAACATCTTTAAGATTCCGAAATGAATAAAACGGAAGTAATGGAAGTTATTTATTCTTTCTGTGTGGCCCGGTACCAAATGACCCACGGGACGGTACCAGTCCGCGGCCCGGGGGTTGGGGACCTCTGGTCTAAAGGAATGACAATAATATTCATCCCTAGGTGTCAAACCTCACAAAAAAAAAAAAAACAAAAAACAAAAAAAAATTATCACTTACCTCAGATCCGAAGATGTTGTTCCTGTCGTGGATGAGGATCCATCCCATCCTCCAACCGGGGACTAGCCAGCGCTTAGCAAGGCCGCAACAGGACATGATTGGCACGTCACTGCTGAGAGATGCCAGGGAGGGGCTTTCACAACCTGGGAAAACCTGAGAAAAACAAACCAAATTTATTCAATGTTAGTTCCGTTTTGCATTGGTACATGGGAGGAATTTTTCTTACATAATTAATTACAGAAAGACAAAATATTCCATGAATCTTTTGCATGTACCGGTAATCTTTTCTGATCCCCAAGGCTTATGTTGGAATAATCAATTTTAATTAACTGACAGAAAATTTCAATAACTGTAAAAACTTTAAAACATATAAAGTCTTCATATAAATCCGTTGACCTATTGTTTTGTTTTGTTGTCTTGCCGTTATCAGTCTGCTTTAAAGGGATGACAAGCTATTTTTTTTCTCAAATTCTGCTCTGGGATTTAAAATTTGCAATTTCAATAGAGCAGAAAATGTTCTCTTTTGATGCCATTGAAAGTATGGTGTGAGTTTCACATCCAAGAAAGCTGGTTCTCATTAAAGCTGTACAATATTCTTGACGGCCCCATGTCCTATTGGCCAAACCAAGCAAACCTTTTAAAAGCCATTTAAGAAGTTTTAACTTGAACACACTACCATTCTTTGAAATGAAGTATGACTTCAGCCAAATAAAACGACGATCTTGTAGACAGTTATGGTCTGTATTTTGAATATCATTTCATACTCAGAATGAGCGCACGTGAACATTATTGACCTTTTAATGTCGACTGAAAGTCTCCCCTCGGTAATTAAAAAAAAGCCTCATGGTCACCCCACCCCCAATTTCCTCAAGAGTTTCTCCCATTCATGCATCTGTTCTTGTACAAAAGGCTCAGCCCGCTCCTTGGTTTATTTATCGTGAGACGTTCGTGTTGACGCATATAAGTATCGCGTTATTTCTGCACCTGCCAGGTTCCGGGTTTGCACCCTGCCCAAGGTCATTCCGTTCTGATCGATTTCAGCCTGTGTCCTCAAAACTCCTTTGTACCGCCCTATATCATCTCCTTCAACCCCTACTCAATCTCTCAACCCCTACTCGATCTCTCAACTTCAATCCCTATTCATCAATCCTGATTCATCAATCCCTTATCAACTCAAAGACAGTCATCCTCTCAATCCTTCAATTTCTTCATCCCTTCATCCCAACATCACACCCTATTGTTTGCATTTCCCTGTATTCACTTTAACACCCCCAGTAAAGAATATTGAAATACCCCCTGGAATTCCTGTCTCTTCCTACCTGTGCTCTGACCGGCACAGCATCTGGTCTACAGTTATCTCCTTAAAACAAATCAGTCCTATTGCCTCCCCAACAGTTCTATTGCAAACATATGCAGCCAAAAAATGCACAGTCATTCTTCTGCTGTACAATAGGGAGTGATTACATGTGGGAGGTTTTGTGAACGTACCCAATAACCCCAACTTTTCCACTCCCATTAATTGCTCCTCAACACAAGAAACACGCGAGCCAGAGAACAAACATCTGAGAAGCAACAGATCTGTGCCGTGGATGGTGGATTAAAAATTTAATAGGCCACTTGCAGATCTCATCTGTACATGAGTGAGAATCAAGTGTAAAAAAAATAAAAATAAGAGGCAACCAAACAACAAGCCGGTTTGAATGACAGTACATACTGTAGGTGGGTGCCTAACTGTACTCCTTAAAGCTTGCAAGGATTGTTAAAAAGGCGTTAAATCTCATGTGACGAAGCATGGGCACTTTGTGCCATGTTTGACTGCTGTCATGGAATTTCGAGGCTTAAACATTTGGTGTTCAAAAAACAAAACAAAAAAAACACCATTGCTATGCATTGAAAACCTCCATTCATTCTTCACAATTGCTGACAGAAAAAGATCTAGACGGACGAAAAAGATGAACTAAAATTGTCCATTTCTTGACCACATTTATTTTGTCAATATCTGATCGGGAACACAGAGTATCTGTACGGGAAGCAAGCAAAATGAATGAGGGACAGGACTTGCGATAGGCCCCACAGAAATAGCTGTCTTCGTCACTGTCACTTTTTAAATTGAGAAATGGTTCCACATTTCAATATTATTGTGGCATGTCATTCGGCCTCCACTCGCAAAATTGAAGCGAAGCCAGCCACCACAGCGATTGTGAATACTGTGCATTATGGTAATGTGCTGCCCAGCAAGCGGAGCCTTTGAAATGTGATATTTTTAACTTTTCACCTGATTTTAAAAAATAATCAAAAAACAAATTTTAGTTATCCCGCAACCAGACCCGGTATAGGGTACACTGAACCAGCCCAGGTATCCAACCAGACCACTTTCATTCAGATCTGATGCCCCATTTCAAAATAAAAGGCCTCTGAAATCAGCAATTTTGTCATTTATGCCTGATTAAAAAAAAAAAAAAAAATCATTAAAAAATGAATTTTGGTTAACCTGCAACCACACCAGGTCTCAGGCACACTAGGCCACCCTAGGCATCCAACCAGACTACTTTAATTCAGATCTGATGTTGCATTCCAAAATAAAGGCTTCTGAAATATTACATTTTGACCTTTTCGCCTGATTTTTTCTTAAATCTTAAAAAAAATTATTTTCATGATCTCGCAATCACACCAGGTCTAGGGCACATCAGGCCGCTCCAAGTATCCAACCCCAGTACTATCATTAAGATCTGATGTTGCATTTCAAAATAAAAGGCTTCTGAAATATAAAATGTTGACCTTTTCACCTGAGTAAAAAAATGATCATTAAAATATTCATTTCAATTATCCTGCAACCAGACCAGGGCTAGGGCACACTCAACCATCCCAGGTATCCAATTAGAGGACTTTCATTATTACTATCCCGTCTGGTTGCGGGACAACAAAAACTGAATTTTTAACGATTTTTTTTAAATGAATAGGGTGTAAGGGTAAAAAAGGTCATATTTCAGAAGCCTTTTATTTTGAAATGGAACATCAAATCTTAATGCAAGTAGTCTGGTTGAACAGTTGGGGTGCCTTAGACCTGGTGTGGTTGCAGGATCACTAAAATTAATTTTTTAACTCATTCAGTACCAGACAATTCTCGACCGAGTCTGAAAAGACGTTTAAAAACGTCTTTTTGAGTGAATGAGTTAATGATATCATAAAAATCGGGTGAAATTTTAGCCATTAATGTAAAGTTAACATTGACTTTTTGATAATCTCAACTTCAGAATACTTCTTGGTGCTATTCTAAGAGAGTTTTCATACTACCTGGGTGAACTCATGGTTGTTTGACCGCTAAGAAATTGTTGTAGAACATTATTTTAAATCCAAACCACTCATGTGCATGCAGATTAATGCTCAGTATTAACAATCACTGTAGCGGCTGGCTTGACTTAAACTTTGCGAGTGGAGGCTGGCCTGACCGCAGTATTGATTCACTGAGTGTTACGCTTCCTCAGATCACTGCATATATGTCATGTGAGCAAAACAACACATTTATTCAGCCTATTTGTATTTTGCTGGCAGTGTTGGGAGCTGTCGTGCATTACAAGAAACATTTAGTTTTTCAACAACTAAGTAATGCAACATATGACATGAAACTATGGTCCGTGCACTAAAAACACATTACGTAACGGTATACATTACAATCCCCGTGCAATGGGGCAAAGCAAGTGACCACCTGTGTCCGATGTCGCACACATGTCGCACTCGCCTCACAAATGTCTTTAAAGACTGAATTCATCTTAACTGGCGTGTCCCAGCAGAAGGCAGTCATCCAGTCCAAACTGTTCTGTTGACAATAAGTATTCATTCAAAATTACCTTGTTTACTTTTCATGGCTGACGTGGAACCCTGACTTTAACTAATATTTACTTGTCAAATTATTAGTTAGTCAAATAAAATTGCAATGAGGAGAAACCGGTTGACAAGAAAATACTACTTTTTTTTTTTAAATGAGGCAATTACTAAAATTACTCTTTGAACAGAATCATGTATTTGATGATGACCAGCATGTAGATTTTTTTAAAAAGGGTGTGGCTAGTCACTTTTATTCCTGGGTAGTTCAACTTTGTATGAGTAAATTGATCCTCAAACAGCTACAACAATTTTTTTTACAATATATTATAGTTGTAAGATCCTTCTCTGTGAAATTCTATTCAAAGTCTGATGTACAGTTCTGTGAAAAAAAGTATTTGTTCTCTTCTCAAATTCTTATTTTGTTGCATAGTTTCTCCATTTTAATGTTTAAGATCGTCAAACAAATGCAAATATCAGAGCAAGGTAACCCAAGTAAACATCCATCCACCATCCAATCTCTGTACCGCTTATTCTCACAACTAGTGTCACGGGTATGCTGAAGCCTATCGCAGCTGATTTTGGCAGTGAGGCGGGGTGCACCCAGAAGTGGTCACCAGTCAATCATAGGGCATATTTCGACAAACAGTCATTCACATCTATGGACATTTTACAGTGTTTATGGAATGTGGGAGGAAACTGGAGTCCCCGGAGAAAACGCACGCAGGCATGCGGAGAACATGCAAACTCCAAACAGGAAGGCCATGTGCAATGAGTCTTTCACATTTCTGTCAATATATTTTAAAATTAGTTTAAGTCGACAACAGTGGAGGTTTTTCAATTAGGAATGGCCTTTTTGTGGTCATGCCACACCATTTCACCATTCAATAAATTCAATTTCAGTCTTCAACCACACCAGGGGTGCCCAAACTTTTTTGACCGAAGTATACGCACGCACGCACGCACGTACACACGCATGCCATGATGAGCAATAGCCTGACGCTGAGGCATACACTTAGGCAGCCTGTTAACCTCCGTAGCTCACGCGTACCGTTTTAAAATGCTTCTCTCGGCCCTCCAGACTCCCATTCTTTGCCCGTCCCCCCTCGGTGAATTGTACAAAACAAACTGAATGAGAATAATGACTACGAGAAAAGATATAGCGCAGCAACACTGATCACAAGCTGCAACTGCAGACTGCTGAGCGCTAACAACTTCCGGTGACGCAGTTTCATGTCACCGTAGGTTAAAGATGACCTGCTTTATTTTATTTTCTTTTTTAAATACTTTTTGTGAAAATAAGACTGATTGAATGATTAGGGTACAGTGTGCATTAACACAAAAATATATTTCAAACATTCACAGAGACACAAATGTTTGTTTTTTTTTTTCCCCCCTCAAGACCCCTTGGATCGATTTGGGACCAGTCCTTGATCTACTGGTCGATCGCGATCGACGTAATGGGCACGTAACGTTTTTTTTTTTTTTCTGCAAGCCATAATTGCACATCAGCTGAGATCACTGACTGATAAAATATATATATATATATATATATATATTTATACAGGATGCTGCCGCTTTACGAGGGTACGGGTATGTCGAAAAATGTTCTCGGACAGAGATGCTGTCAGTTAGATTTTGTGTTGCGCGCCTTTTTCACCGCTAATACCGACGTGAGGCTCTGTGAGAGGAGGAGGAGGAGGAGGAAACGCCTGTCCCCATGAAGAAGTTCGAGACGGAACTTTATTTTTATTTTTATTTTTTACAGCAATTAACTTCTTTTTTACAGCAATTAACTTCTAAGATACTGACAACGAAATTAAGTACACATTGGCACATATGTGTTAGGAATCTGATGAGAAAAGAAAAAAAGCAATAGTCTAGTTTGTAGTATTGAGTATCATTCATTGCATAACAGCCCGTGGGGGTTGGGGGTGGGGGGGAAGCGAGAGAGAGAGAGAGAGAGAGAGAGAGAGAGAGAGAGAGAGAGAGAGAGAGAGAGAGAGAGAGAGAGAGAGAGAGAGAGAGAGAGAGAGGGAGATACTTTACTAATCCTGTTGGGATTCAAATAAATAGTGTACATGCTGTGATATTGTCTAGCATCCTCAAGGATAAACCGGCAAATCAAGCGTAATCTCTGCTATAACTGCGTTGAACAATATAACTCGCCCTTAGCCCATAGAGGCCATCCAAATCTACATGTCAACCTGATATGACACAAACTGTCCAGTGGACTCACCATGTTGCTGTAGACTTCATCTGCCAGGATGGGCAGACAGTTTCTGGAAGCCACTGTGAAAAAGAATAACCAATAATTACATTTATTGAGGGGATTTGGGTGCAAGAGTTTTGACAGTATTGCTGCTGACCTGTGAGAATCTTTTGTAGGTGTTCCTTGGTGAAAACAGAGCCACATGGGTTGGATGGATTGGTAACAATTAGAAGGGATGTCCTGTCATCAACCTGGCTCTCCAAATGTTGCAGATCCACCTCCCATGACTTCTCTGGCTAGCAATTTCAGAGGAACAAATAGGTGGGCCTTCCGTTAGTACTGACGGAAGGTTCGTCAGTCCATCAATGACGGACGCCGTTTTGCTGACAATTGACAATAAAAAGGAAACGAAAAACAAAACAAAAAAAGACAGGCAAAGCACGAAAGCAAGTGGTTTCGTCCGTCAGCATGATTGTCACAAACCAGGTCAAGTACAGACAGACCTCTCAGTCTGTCACTGGCGGCTACCCGTTTTGTTGATGACTGACAGAAACCCACCCCGCTTGTCTCGTGTGTGTTTGTTCGCGGGGGTTTCTGAGACAGGACTGCATTGACTATATTCAGTTGGTGTGAGAGTGCTCCTGTTTTCAATTGGATCACTCTGCGGGGACTGTGTGTTAGAAGATACAGTATGTACATTGGTTATCCCATATTTACTCTTATTGAATTTACAAAACATTTGCTCAGGGGTGTGACTTTGCAAAACCCTCATTTACGATGGGATGAGTTGATTATGAGTGGTTTGTTGGTTTGGGAGAGACCAGTAGGTTCCTCTTCTCAGCTTTGAAGTTAACACCCTTTGATGAAGTTAATGGTCTCTGATAAAGTTAACTGCTGCTTATGAAGGTAACATCAACCCCAGGTCATCGCACTGTGGGACGTCAACGGCTGCAATCACGGACCACTGATCTCCAGCATGACCCCTCTGACCAACTCAGGAATGAACTGTGTGCTCTGGTTGAATGCCCCATTTGGAGAATTCATTGCTGTTTTGAAACGTGTGAACCATCGCCACACCCCGTTTAAAAGATCGTGTATCAGGGACATCCTTCCTTAATAAAAGCAAGGAGACAAGCGTGTTTTTTTCAGAGCTGTCCATGGACTGTAAAGGTTTATACATCTCAGCTAGCTGCAGAGCTGTTCCGAGATTGTAAACCGAGACATTTTTTAGCGCACTCTCCTTGCAAGAAAGACAACTCTGCTTGCCTCTTAGTCTCTCTGTGATGTTTTTAAAGTTTGTCTTCACGGTCTGATTAAATCCTAGACCTGACGCTGTGACTGGCGAAGGAAGCAGAATCCGATGGCATCACTTCCCTTTGCTATGGCAGCACAAATGTACAATCTTTGATTGAGTCAAATATTAGCAACTATGGAGCCACAAAACAGTTTTGACATCTAAAATGAAGATCGGTTCTCTTTTCTTTTTTGTGTGTGTGTGTAATTTCTGCTACAGAAACCTTGAGCTGTGTGACACATTCATTCATAGGCATCTCTGCCATATTGGATGTGGCCATCATATTAGCCATTAAATGTCCATATTATATATTCGTAAAATGGTGTTAAAATGACAATTAAAAGTACTGGTTCGCTCTTAATCCCATGAGTTCTGGCTTGATGAAACATTTCCAAGGAGCAAATGCTTGAGAAATATATTTATTTATCCTGTAAATGGTGTGTATAGTATAGTATAGTATAGTACAGTATAGTACACAGTGGCGGACCCTCAGGGTCAGCAAGGCCTTCTCTGCTGGCCTAAACATTCTCAGAAAAGTACATTTACTTTTCTAAGAATAACATTAATTTGTTATTTTATTTTCATAAATATGTTAACAAAATTATTCTCTGTATTCTTTACGTCATATTATTTCCACTTCGTCGAGTGGCTTTCAATGTTATTTTAAATAACATTGAAAGCCACTCGATAAATAACTTATTTATTATGGTAGAGTTTTTA